CTAAGTATATAACACTCGGGTCCGAAAGTTTAGCCCGGGATGATTTTTTTAATTTATAAAAAAATATATAAAAATAATTAAAATTTTATTTTAATTCAATTATCGTTAAATTTTTGAGAAAAATTGAATTAGGAATGAAATTGGAAATAATTTTGAAAAAAATGGGTAAAAATGTGAATGCGGGAAGTGTTTTTGAAAGAAAATTTGAAAACAGGAAGTAAAATCACAAAAAGTGAAAGTTTGGCCGCGTGGGACAGTCTGATCAGCAGCCACAGTGAACCAGGACATGCCGCGTGGCGAACACGCTAACATCGGCTCCACGTAAGGGGCCATGCAGACGATCTGCATGCTTGGGCGATCCGATGGACTAAATCACATCTCGCACGCACGAACAGCCCAGATGCATTTCCTCTTTAGACACGATCGGATAGACGAGATTGATCGCGATAGACGGTCCAGATTCATCCACGCAATCGGCTTAAACAGAAAGTTATCGAACAATCATTCTCGCTCCACATCCACTTGAACGAGCGGTCTGTATCGGATGAAGATGAGTATTTAAACTTCTTTTCGCAGGGAACCAAAATCCTAACCGACAGAGAAGTGACTGGAGAAGAAGAAGAATGACAACTGGAGAAAAGAACCAGACATTGAAGAAGGAGGCCAGCCACCGTCACTGCAGCACCAGAGCCACCGCCGACGCCAAAACAAGTATTTTTTATCTCCTTCCCGCTCGAAATTCAATCTCAAGTCTCCCTATGCCCATATCAGAGCCAAAGGCTTGACGGGTGAACCAAAAATTGCAGGCAAAGTTTAGCCGAGCTGTCGCGGCCAAAACCTAAAACCCTCTCCGATGACTCCCTTTATAAAGGTCCAGAACTTAAATAAAAATAAAGTTATAAATTAAATGTGGAAGCAAAATAATAAAGTTAAGGTTTATATTCCTTATACAATAATTTAAAATGACCAATAAGGTTACGGGAATGTCCATTGTAAAAGAACAAACAAAAATTAAAGAAATAAACGAAAAGCAAATAACTGAACAATCTTAGGATGACATTCACTAGCTTTTAAAGGGAGTTCGGGTGGTGAACTATTCACAACCCTTTTGTTGATTGGGATCTGGATCTTGATTCTCTTGATATGAAATAGTTAATAAATGGGTGAGCTACACTACCCCAGTAAGAATATCATACTAATAACAGATACAGAAAATTAAAGATTGGTAAAAATTAGAAAAACAACCAATAGAGCTCTTAATTTATGTAAATTCATTTTCTATAAAGAAAGTCATTTATTCTATATTTATGTAACAAGTTTTTGTCCAAAAATAACCTATAAAAACCATATCCATACACTTTTTATTATCACATATAAGATAACAAGAAATGATTACTTTTCATTTTTACCCGGCTTATCGGTACCCTGGGGGTCCATAGGGATGTCTTCCTACTCGTGAACCCAATATACAATTAAACAGTTAACTAGCCGTCCCCATACCCCGTCCGATAATGGGCGCCAAATATTCCACCACCTCGATACCCTGTCCGGTATGAGAGTGAACCATATCTTGCAAACCTTACCGGTAAAGGACTTCCCAAGCCCACCCAACTGAGGTAGCGTTTACGATAGGGTTTCTTATATACCGGACCCGTCTGCCCTTTCCCGGGTACCCAGTAAGTCTTTTCCATACAGATTTCCATCAATATGACAATCAACCACGTAATAACCATATCTCATTTTATACTCACAGTTCACTTAAACAACAATATAGTTTAACACAGCCAAGTAACTAATGACCGAAATACCAACAAATAATGCAAGGGAAACAAATAACCAAATAACTAAAAAAATCCTAAAAACCATCAATTCAGTTACACACAGTATAATAATAAACAAATATAGGTAATACAGCAAAATAAACAGAAAATCGAAAAGATCGTAAACTAACCAATTCTGACTCCACTAATAACATTTAATTATTTTTAAGGTTCTCTAATTTTTTATAAAAACACAATTATCGATTATTAAGACTCAATTTATCATAACGGAGAAAAAGATGAGTGATCCTTACCTGGATTAGTGTTTTGGGATGTTGTGCTACCTACTACACTTCCTAACGGATACTGAGTTTTCTTAAATTATCTCTGAAAAATTCAAAACACTTGTCACGTACCTAAAAATACCCTAAAAATCCAAAATCGGTATCCAAAACTCATATCGGCCAATTTTGGGGTTCCAGCAAGGTGGCGCCACTGTGCTCTGACACTAGCTTCGCTGCCCACGGTGGTGGTTCACCTCGGCCTAGCTAATTTTTGGGCAGTTTTAGCTGTATTCCTGTAAAAAAACACATCACGGGCCTCGTTGGCTGGAAAACGACAGAAAATCGAACTCACCGGTGGGGGGGACCTCCGGGTGCGGTAGCTCCGCCAGTTCTCAATCGCGGTTGAGATTCTTTCTTCGGCCAACCTGTACAAAAAAAGACGGTGAGCATAATGATCAAAAAATTATGTGAAATGGGAATCGGGAAGAACTCATAGGAGGGATTTTGGAACTTTGGCTGCGGTGGCTTCGCCGAGCTTCACCCGTGGTTTGCGACTCACCCACTGTCCTTTTTGCTCCAATTTGGCTATAGAGGTGCTCGGAATAAAATTCTGAGCAGGTAGAGAAAATTTACCTCTTTTAGCGGTTGACAGTGGCTCTGGTGCGGTGGCGGTCGGCCTCCTTCTCCGGCGTTTGATTTTTTTCTCTGGCAGGGGTTGGTAGATAGAGTTTGGATTCACGTGTGATGCAAGACATTTATACTCATCCCACTTTGATCTGGACCGTCCATCACGATCGATCTCATTCGTTCGATCGCGCCTAAAGAGGAAATAAATCTGGACTGTCCATCGTGATTTGATCTCGATCATCCAATCGCGTTTAAAGAGAAAAAAAAATCCAGGCTGTCCATCACAATTTGATCTCGACCGTCCGATTGTGTTTAAAGTAGAAACAAATCCGGGTCGTCCATGCACGCGGGATTGATCCTGGGCTGTTAGGATTGCTAATAGAGTGGTCCTACGTGGCATAATTTTTTCTATTTGCACTATGATGCCTAGTTTCTAATTTTTCTTTCAAAAACGCCTTGCAAACCCAAATTTTCACCTCTTTTTCCCAAAATTATTTTTGATTTCATTCATAACCTATTTTTTTCATAAGTTCAACAAAAAATTAAAATAAATTAATTTAAAAATAATTTTTTTTATATATTTTAAAATGTCAAAATTGATCCCGGGCCAAATTTTAGGCCCGAGTATTACAACTCTCCTCCCTTAAAAGAAATTTGGCCCTCAAATTTGTTTCTCTCTCACTTAATCAAACAGTTGAGAATATTGGACTCTGAAATCTGATTCTAGCTCCCATGTGGCCTCTCTATGTGTGTGATTCTGTCATAGGACCTTAACGAAAGAAATTTCTCTGTTGCGGAGTACTCTGCTCTTTCGGTCTATAATGCTTACTGGTACCTCATCATAGGACAGATCCTACTGGAGTGAAAGGGCCTCGTGGGCCAAGATGTGCGAGGGGTCTGTGTTGTACTTGCGTAACATGGACACATAAAATACATTATGGACCTTGGATAACTTTGGGGGTAGTGCCGGTCTGTAGGCAGTGGTAAAAAATGGAATCTAGTCCAAACATATATGCCATGGTTCCTTACTTCGACAGGGTACAAATATCTAAATTTGATATTTTTAAATACTTTTTCAGACTTATTGCCGATACTAAGTAGCAGTCAAAAATTTGTAACAATTCTGTCTAAGATCTCAAATGACCTAATGAATTAAAGATTTAGTTTTTCCCTCTTGCCAAACCTACTGATTCCCTTGAGAGGGATGATCTTGAGGAACACTCGATCACCCTTCTTAAATTTTGAATCCATCCTCCGGGTGTCCGCATAACTCTTCTGCCTACTCTAAGCTGTCTAGATATTCTTCTTGATCTTAACTATTTTGGTTATAGTCTCCTCCACAAGATCTGACACGAACAATTTTCTATCACCCACCTCTTTCCAATAGATCGGTGATCTGCATGGGCAGCCATACAACACCTCGTAAGGAACCAAGTCGATACTTGCTTGGTAGCTGTTACTGTAGGCGAACTCTATTGAGGGTAAATGATCATTCTAATGGCCCCCAAAATTAAGAACACAAGCTCGGAGCATATCCTCCAATGTGCGGATCGTCGTTTCTAATTGTCCATCGGTCTAAAGGTGGAATGTGGTAGTAAGAGACAGTTTCGTCCCTATAGCTTGCTTAAAACTATACCAAAATCGAGAAGTAAAGCTGAGGTCCCTGTCAGATACTACTGTCACTGGCACTTCATGTAACCTAACTATCTCCCGGATATACATTATTGCTAACTTTTCCAAGAGGTCGGTCATCTTGATCGCCAAGAAGTGAGAAAACTTAGTGAGCGCGTCAATAATTCCCCAAATAGAATCATATCCCGAGCGTACTCTAGGCAATCCCATCACGAAATCCATTATGATGTGTTCCCACTTCCACTCCAGAATCGATAATGGCTGAAGCAACCCACCTGGGCATTGATGCTCTGCCTTGACCTGCTGACACACTAGACAATTAAAAATAATGTCAGCTACCTTTTTTATTATCCTGTTCTACAAAAATCGGGGTTGCATACTTTGATACATTTTAGTGCTTCTGGGATATATGACAAACTTTGAGTTATGAGCCTCTGTTATGATGTCTAATTTCAGTTCACTATCACTTGAAACAACAAGCTCTTGTTGCCAATAATGTCACTATTACTTTGTTATGTTCTTGTACGGTATTCACTCTGTACGCACCCTCTATTTCTCTTGTTGATTCTTTAGTTTTTCCCCATTCATATGATCCATCAAACACACATGTAATTTCAAACTTATTTTTGTTTGAAAGGAAAGAAAATGGAGTTTTGATATTGATTGGAATACCCAACTTTGTTGAAGATGTAGAGTTCTAAGAACTCTTCTTGGAATCTTTATATGAGAACGTGACTTCTATATCGATCTTTTCTTTGTTGTTGTTAGCTTTAACTCCAGTGGCTAACGTGACAAGTTTTTGGTTATAGATTCTAGCATCATGAGTATTAAACTTAACATTAAAGATCTTTCTAGAAACAACAAGCTCTTTTATATGTAAACAAGAGAAGTTAGTAATGCTAGTGTCGATAACTTTGAGACAACTTATCTCAATCTCTTGTGTAAATCTCTTGCAATAGTTATTGTTACCTAAGTTGCAAAAAGAGACTACATCACTATTAACTTTGACAGCCCATAACAATGTATCTAGATTGTGGATAGTTGTGTCATTTGAATAAGCCCATATCCAAGACTCTGAGTTAAGATTCCACAGCTTGCTAAAATGATTAGACTTTATATGGATGCTTCCATCGCTAGTAAAGTATGACTTGTGACACGTAGCGGGATTTGATAGATCATTGCCACTGAACTGCAAATATGAGTTTCCATCAGTTGTGTGGGCACTGAGATATTTGCCATTCTGACCCTTAAAGCCAACATATTTTAGTAGTATGAACAATAATTCAACATCAACCACTATGCACACATCACAAGAATTCTTGTCAATAGATGTAAATCTTGCAAATAATCAGTTACCAAAAGGTGGGGCAAGCCTCCCTAAGCATGCATAATGTCCCAAGTTAACATGCCAAAATCTCACCATATGAGGATTATCATCAACAGGTGTGACCTTGAACAATGTACAAGACCATTTAGATTGATCTTCCTCGGGTCCATCAGCAGCACCAACAAGCCACCAGTGGTTTGGTGACCACCTCACCAAATACCTATTGTTGTAACAACACTTAAAGTGCACCATGGGTACTTTTTTGGCTAGCATAACTTCTAACTTTGTGAATGGCCTAACGATATTCTCTTCGGAAAATTGTAAAAATGAATGCACTTGTGAATCTTTTTGAACATAACGTAAATATTTATCATTATATTTTGATTTGAGCACTATAAATTTTGGCAGTTTCCTCTCCTTTCCCTCTTTATACTTAAGTGAGTTTCTCTTGCTTTTGCTGTTGTCTTCTACTTTTTAAACCTCAAACTTATTGCTACTTATAAGCGTAGGAAGCCCTGAGAATTTTAAAAGCACAAGTACTTAATTTTGGTTTACTATTTACTTTTCAAGAATCACTTGTTTAGTTTAGCCAAGTATAGAATTACTCTTTCTACTACAGTTTTTCCTAATGTAAAAGAAAAGAATTACAAAACTATTTTGTTTTATAACCATCCCGAACTTTATACATATCGGGTAAAAAACTACGGTATGGATCAACTCTAATTTTATTTTTGGATATGGAGGAAATAAGTAGTGGAGAAAAGAGAAGAATGAAAAGTAAGTGTCAATGTTTCTTATTGTTTTTTTCTTATAAAAAAAACAATTTTTACTTTTTTAAATTGAGGAGAGAATGAAAAAGTTTTTGATAATAATTAATACATTCATATACGGTTTAATTTCTTTGAAAAATAAAAAAGTTATATGCCATCACCTCGTTTTACATATATACACACATATCAATTAACAATAAAAAATTCAAAGATGAAATATATTCGAATTATGATTAAAAAGAAAGATTTAGTATATCGTAAAGAAAATATTGTAACAAATAACTTCAAAACCTTTTTTAGATCATTGTTTAGTATGAAAGAATTATCCTAATAGAATTCAAATAGAAATATCAAAATCCTTAGTAATTGTGACCATATTATATAAATCTTTACGATAAAGTTCAAAACCATATTTAATTATTACAATGCATGTGATATATAAATATATATATATATATATATATGTATTCCAATATTATGTCCAAGAAAATCATGTTTTCAACATTACATATCAATGTTTATTTTCATTGGCAAGATCGGAACATAACTAGATTAAAAATTTCAAGACAAGCTTACATTCTTATCAAAAATAGATAATTAACACAAAAACTCCTCACAATCCTATTCCGAATCGATTTTGGTGCATATATGATTGTTTCATATAATAGAAAAAGGTAATCAAAACAAATTACTTTCAAAAATAAAAGTCTTCAAGAACTTAGGATATTCTGAATCTAAAAGCTGAAAATAATACGACAACAAACATTATGCCTAAAAAGGAGGCTTCATTGGAATCTCATTTTGCAAACCACCTAATTCTATTGTTGTAATATCCGGTAAACCACCTAATGAAAATTGTTGGGGATAAGCTTCTTCCAAAGATGAGCCAAATTCAAGAGGAAAAAAAAAAGAATCACAAAACCACAGAATGGTATTACCGCGGATAGGAATCCCTATGTCTTCATACTGTATACAGAAAGACTCAGTCAATCATGATATGGTGCAGTCTATACGGGAGATGGAAACCCATCAAAATGGGGCATCCTGGTCCTCTAGTAAACTAATGGCATTAGCCTCCGTAAACTAAACTTCACCGCTCAGTCCTCTGTTAAGCATTCGCCATTTTGTCTTTCCATCATCATTGAGCTCCTCCATCTTCCTTACTGAAACAGCTACAAGGACACTCGACAACTAAACTAGCTTTTACAATAGGCTTCGTTCCGAAGGATTGGAAGCAACATACAAACACAAAGAACAGGTAGAGATAAACAGAGAGAATACAAGAAGTCTAATTGAAAATGATAACAATTGAATAAAACCTTGGTACCAGCTCCACCTTGCCCGCTAACATGCAGCAGCAGCACATGTATTGTCTGAAAAGTTTTTGATGTCACAAAGTTTTTAGTATCATCCAAAACTTGCATATGTTGCTGACTGTTCAACATCACAAAAATGTCTCAAATGTAGTGTGGAAATTTAGGATTGTAATGCCTATTAACATTATGATTATAAATTTACAGAAAAAATTATCACACACACTGTCAACAAGCAACAATTCTCTTAATAATTCTACTTCTATTTTGAGAAAACATGAATAGTTGCAAAAACAGCTCATGCATTCTTATAGCCATAAATATCAAATTAATCTGCTATATTCAAAAAAATGCAATAGGTTCAAGAGAAGAGACTGAAAAATTCTAAACCTGTACCTATCTCCTTTAATACTTTCTTGTAAGCTTTTACTTTATGTACAATATAAATCACTACTTACACTGATACAGGGGCTATTAACTGTGAGCTATTACAACAATGTCGTCACATTGGGTATTCTTTACTACTTGAACAACATCTTGCCAATCTTGAAGGAGATGGTGATCTAACTCTACTGTGTCAATGTATCGTAACAAAATTTCACCTGACGCTTCTCCGAAAAGATTCAATTCTCCGTAATTCACTGATGTCTTGCGTATGAAAATCCTTTTCAACCACTGAAAAAACTGGTTGCTCAGAAATATCCCCACAGACATTCTGTGTTCAACTAGGTTCCTGCTTTTCCTGAACCAGAAGACAGGTATCTTCACCTTACGGAAAGAAGTTAAGATATCAAGATCTTTTGATAGACAATAATTCAGCAATCATGCAGAAGCAGAGGTCATTAATTCTCGGGATAAAGAGGTTATCAATTAATTAAGTTTCAAGACTATACATATTTGCTGCAAGTTCCAGCCTCAGCCAAAGGCTTTATAATACTGTATACACACAGTCAAACATTTACCAGCTCTTATGGAACAACATGAGATTTCTATTGGTGCCGTGGCATCATAATAACCAACCGTAAGCTTCCCTCTTGGCATTGCTTTACTGAATTTGAGTGGAATATAAGCTCTGCTTGTTGATTTTCCAATAAAACATGTGCGATAACGAAAGAGTCACCTTTTTCAGCAGCAAATTGCCATTCCCGGACGGACATATAGAACCAGTCCTTTCTAGCAGATGTAGTTGCTTTAACCTCGAAGTGCTGTTTATCTTCTTCTTTCTCCCCTATTACAATGTCATAGGGCAGACCAGATTCATTGTACCCATTGACCCACTTCACAACTCTATCAGCAAAGTGACTAGTAATGTACCTAAAACAAACTTCCTCTCCCGTTCTACCAGTCACCCATGCTTGCATTGAATTAGGTGCACTAGTACCAAGCTGAGCTCTATTTCCAAAATCTAATGAACTGAACTCGGACTCACTAGATAGACAATCCAAATTAAAAGAACTGATTGCAATCTTCACACTAGGATTACTCTGATTGCGAGTATGACCAAACTTTTTTCTCACACCCTCAGAAGCTGGCGTCGTGCCCGAATCATCCTTGACTGCCAAATTAGTACCAACTTCAATTGGAACCACAATACTTTGAGCATCAAGGCCTTTTAGATCCTCCCTACTTTTCTTTTCCTTGCTGCTGTTAGGCTGTGGAATGAAAGACTCTGTCTGAAAGACATTGCCTTGAATAGAACTACAACCTGGAACAGTTTTCCACTCCAGGAATAGGCCAGTTTGAGTTGGTTCCTCCCGTCAAGGATTCCAAAGAGTTCTCTTCATTTATTATTGTTGCAGCATTGCTCTCTGCCAACATAGATGCAGATGAAAGGGACCAAACAGAGTCATCATCAGGTAATTTCTTGAGCTTTTGGCTATTCAGTATAAATGACTCCATCTGTTCTTGGTTGGAACCTGTTTCTGCCATGGTTGTAACCATGTGAAGTAAATTTGCCATATGCAAATCAGGAGTTCCATCAAATAACAGGCGAGAAAACTCCATAAATAAGGAGTGGAAATCTGAATCTGGTGTTGTGTACAAGATGTTATCCTGTTATATCACCCTTCTCTTCGGCTGTCATAACGGTCGAATTCTACTTCCCATTTCTTTCCTTTTCCCTCTACCATGCCCACCAAGCCCGCGAGTAATCGTTCAGCTCCACGCAATTCTTTCACTTAGGCTTTGTTATTTCCGCCTCTGAAATTAGTAAATCAAATTAATTGAAATGAGTGATTGATTCATAAAAATCGCAGAACGAATTAGAATGCCACGTGGCAACTCGTCCCTACTATCGATATCCAAGTGAAAGTTAAATGACTCTACATCAATTCGAAATGTTAACTATGATAATTGAAATAACTTTCTCAAGATAAAGAAAATCAAATTTGTTGAGATATGTGATTGATTGATAGAAATTACAAACATAATTAAAATATTATGTATCAATACGCTACAAAACAATATGTGAACCATAATTGGAATATATATTTTTTAATAATTTAATTAAAAAATCATTAGCTGAAGATTAGTTCACTGCCTTCTAATTAGAATAATTTTTCATAGTTAAAGAAAATTAAGTTAATTGAATGGATGATTGATTCATAGAAATCACTAACATTATTAGAATGACATGTGTCAGCACACCACAACGCCAAGTTCCAACTTCTCATTGCATGTTGAAAGTTAAATGAGTATATTAATTTTTGATAACTAAACCAAATCAAATTTATTGAGATGTGTGATTAATTTATAACAACTAAATTAATTTTTTGGACATTTAAGGTAGAACCAACACACTTTAGTTTTTGAAAGCTTAACAAACCAGAGCACCCAGCATGGCGAGCCACGCTGACGTCGGTGCCATGCAGGATACCACGCGGGCAATCCATGTGCCCCGCGATCCAACTACACAGGATCGATCCCGCATGCGTGGACGATCTATATTTGTTTTCTCCTTAAACGCGATCGGACGACCAAAATCAAATTGTAATAGACGATCCAGATTTATTTCCTCCTTAGGCTCGATCGGACGGACGAGATTGATCACGGTGGATGGCCTATTTCAACGCGAGATGGATATAAATATCTCGCATCACACGAGAACCCAAACCCTAGCCGCTAGCCCCCGCCAAAGAATGAGTTTTTGATACTGATTTTGAATTTTTATAGTATTTTTAGGTACGTAACGAGTGTTTTGGATTTTACGGAAAGAATTTAGAAAATTCTGTACCCGTTAGGAGGCATAGTAGACAGCGCGATATCCTGAAACACTGATCCGGGTAGGATACCTCACTCTATTCTCCGTTACGGCAAATTGAGGCTTATTAATCGATAATTATATGTTTTTATGAAAAATTAGATAACCCTAAAAATAATTACAGGTCACTGGTGGAGTAGGAACTGGTTAGTCCATGATTATTCCGATTTTCTGTTTTTTTTTTTACTGCTCTATTGGCTTGTCATTATATGGTGCATGTAATAAAATTTATATTTTCTATAGCCTTGTTGATATATCTAGTTTATTCGTCTATATACTATCAGCATGAATGTATTTTAATTGATCTGTGAATATAAAAAAAAGATATTAGTATTGCGTAAAGAATGTAAATCCTAAATCTATTATTTATTTTTGCATTTAATTTATAAATTTATTTTTATTTAAGTTCCAGGCCTCTACATCGCCCCTCTCGATCAAATTTTCTCTTCCCTTGACCTCTCTTCTGCTTCTCTCCATTACACTCGTCTCCCCTCTACCATGTTGCACCTCTCTGACTCTCCATTACAGTCTACCTCAACCTTGACCTCCCTTAACCTCCTTGAAGTAAATGTTTCTAATTGGAGGAGTTGGAATGTTCCATTAATATAACGTATCAGCGAGTCTCCTTTAATGAATAAGTAGTAAATTAAGTAATGAGTCTCTGTAATTGTTATGAATAAACATACTTCATCTAGTATCTTTATATGTGCTACCACGTGTTTTTTATTATGTCAGCACCGTCAAGTGTCCGCAAGGCACTTACAAATTCCTTATTATCTTGTGATTTTTTTTATAACTATTTTACGTATCTGACGTATCTATTATCTATTCTAATGGACACGCATATGTCGTCTAACCTTTTTATTTTTACTAAATACATAGCAAACTAATATTTTGCAACTTCTAGATTTTTAAAAATAAAGAATTTAATTAATGTTAAAATTACAGTCAATATATAAAATATAAACATGTCTTTTGAAAATATCTTATTGAAACTAAATATCTAATATATCGTACATAGTTTTCTATTGAAAAAATATAAAAAAATTCTCATAGTTAATTAATATAATTAATTTATATTAATTTTTTCCTCTAAATTATGCATAAAGATAAAATAAAATAAAAACCTAAAGTATAAGATTTTACGTTTTTACATATATTTACGTGATCTTTAATTAACTCATCAGTGAAAATGGTTTGTAGTAATTAAAATAATGATTTATACTAATGCAATCAATTTTTGTATATATACCTACAGCGATGAAATTATTCATGTTATTAAAAGTGACGATTACTATTGGTAATTTTTGTTGTAGGATAACTAGAAAATATTATTGCTATTTCATTTATTTTAGGACTTTTAGTACAGACAGTGCATAATATACGAAAGTACGATAAAGTAAAGCCTTTTGAACATAGACATTACAGCCTTACACAGTTATTACAAACATATATTTAACAACAGTGTTGGATATGTCAACAACTAACATCCCAACTTATTTTTTATTACTTACCAATAGGTGCAATGTAGACGTAGATATAATCACACCTTTTCTATTTTGGTCTCGTATTTCAAGTTGAAAGTAGCGCTGCAAGTGTATAGACCATCGTCCATATTGTAAGTAACTGTTTTTCCATCCATGAGAATGTCATGCTGAGTGTAAGAAAATGGAATATCAGCAGAAGCCCTTGTTCCCAGCAATGTGACTGTCACCTTGCTCTTTCCTTCCAGAGTATCCACTATATATGCAATCTCTACTTCTCTCGTTGATTCCTTAATTTCTCCCCACTTGTAGGATCCCTCAAACTCTCTAATTGTTTCGAATGCACTTTCGTCCACAAGGAACGCGAATGGAGAGTTGATGGTGATTGGGACACCCAACTTTATTGTGGAAGTGGAATTCCAAGAACTATTCTTGACATCTACATATGATAGATTGACTTGTACATTTGTTTTTTGTTCGTTTTTGTTAGTTGTAGATCCAGTGGCTACTGGGACAACACTCTTGCCGTAGATTCGAGCATCACGAGTGTGAAACTTAACATTGGAAATTTTTCTTGAAACAACAAGCTCTTTAACTTGTAGCCGGGAGAACTTGGTAATTTCAGTGTCAACAGCTCTAAGGCAACTTAATCTTATCGTGTCAGTAAACCTCTTGCAGTAATTGTTGTTGCCCAACTTGCGAAGAGCGACTACATCATCATGGACTTTGGTAGGCCAAAACAACGTTTCTTCATTACTGGCTGATGTGTCATCTGCATCAGCCAATATCCAAGATCCTGAGCTAAGTCTCCACAATTTGTCGAAATGATTAGACTTTAAACGGAGGCTTCCGTCACTAATGAAGGAAGCTTCATGACATGCAGCAGGGTCAGATATATCACTAGCCTCAAACTGTAGGTATGGTTTTCTCTCAATTGTTTGGCCTCTCAGATATTTTCCATGCTCTTCGGTCTTGAACCCAACATATTTGGGCAACACAAACAGTGATTCCACATCGATCACAATGCACACATCAGAGAAATCTTTGTCAATAGATGCAGATTCTGCCAACAAACAGTTTCCAAAAGGCGGGGCAAGCCTCCACAAGCATGCATAGTGGCCGAGCTGGACGTGCAAAAATCGAAAAGTTTGTTGATTATTGTCCACAGTGCTGGGCTTGAACAATGTACAAGACCATTTAGATTGATCTTCCTCTGGTTCATTAGCAGCACCAACTAGCCACCAGTGATTTGGAGACCACCTCACCAAATATCTGTTGTTGTAACTACATTTGAGGTGCACAAGTCCTTCAGTTTGGGCTGGCACAACTTCCAGTTTTGTGAATGCACTCACAACATTCTCTCCAGAGAATTGAAGGAATGAATGCACTTGTGAGTCCTCTTGAACATAGCGGAGGTATTGATTGTTGAATTTTGATTTGAGCACGATGAATTTTGGCAATGCCATTTTTCTTTCCTCTCGTCTCTTACTACAAACTTTCTCTCTTGTTTTTGTTTTTGCTCTAGTTTGATGCTTTGGCTACCGCAGACGAGTGGTGGTATTTATAAGGAGAAGGATGCACGGGAGAGCTTTGATATTAGCGTGAAAAAACAAGTTGTTTGGTTAAAGAAATAGGGTAGAAATTATTTTACCTCTATATAAAAAATACAATTACATTATTGGGGCTCGCGAAGCACGTTTCATAAAAGAATTGTGGACCATAAAAGAATTGTGGACCATAAAAGAATTGCTGCCCAAGTTAACCCTTCATATGTAAAAGACTAACACATATACATACGTAAATATATATACTTCTTGTATTCGCTTGTTTGTTTAGTAAGCTTACATATTATATATATATATATATATATATATATATATGTATATGCATACAGAAATGGATGATATAAATTGAAGCAGATTTTCGTACATTATTTTGTTGGTTGGTAAAATAATATTTTAGTTTAAAATTAATTCCATACTAAATTTAACCACATAAAAGTATACATATTGAAAAAATAATTAACAAATTAAGATACCTGACTGATATTACATTGTGTATATATATGTTATATTAGGAAAAAAAAGTAAGCACATCAGTAAGGCTTTCATGGATTCAATTAAAAAAAGAAGACATGTGAACAGATTTTCAGATCTCCATGCAAAAAATCCGAGCCTTCCCGCAAACGTCCTTATCCAATTGTAAGTATTTGACATTAGCAACACGTGTTAAATAAATTTTTAATTTTTAATTTTAACTATAATAATATAAAGCAAATTTCAAGAATAAAAATAACTAAATGAATTAGAATTCTGCAGTTCTAAATAAATTTTGGTATACAAAGTTTTATATATTTCATGAATTACTTTTTTATTTTATGATACTCTTTAATTAAATATATAAATTTTTAGTTAAAAATATTATGGACATATAAATTTAATATTTCCTATTGACAATCCGAAAATTATCTCAATAAAGAAATTATTTTATGTATTTATATAAAAAAAAAAAAATACACTTACACGTTCTTATCCATATGACGAGACTTGGGGACCATAAAAGTTGTGAGTATTTGGATAGTATCGATAAAAACAATAGACATCAGCAACACGTGTCAAATAAATTTTTAAAACAATATATATAAATAAATTTTAATAAAGATATTGTAATATAAAGCAAATTTCGAAAATAAAAATAACTAAATGAATTAGAATTCTGCAGTTCTATATATTTTGTGAATTATTTTTTTATTTTATGATACTTTTTAATTAAATATATAGATTTTTAGTTAAAAATATTATGCACATATAAACATAATATTCTCTAAGTTTATAACTTATCTCTTTTATAATAATCAAATTTTATTTTATTTTTTCATTCGAAAAAAAAAATCTAATTTTATTTTAATGGAAACGTTATTCATGAAACTTAAGAAAAATATATTTTTATAGAATATATTTTTATTTAATTTTTAAGTTATGTAATATCGCTCCATTCGAATTATTATCTAACATAAAAATAACACATATTTTATATTGGATTAAGATAATGATTTGTTCTTATATTATTAGCTTTTGATCAAATTAATCTCTCTCTTGCTTTTTGTTTAAATTGGTTGTTGTTCTTTTAAATAATTTTCAATTTAGCATCTTATTCTTACCAACAATTATAATCATTAACTCTGGTGCCACGTATTAAATTTGAGAACATGTGATGCCTTCTTTTTTATTTGTGTGTAAGTATATACTATATCAGATATAACGAGAGCAAATTAGTCTACATATAAGTATAAATTAAAAAAAAAAAAAAATCAGTCTACATCATAAGTAGGCATCCTAAACTTTCTTATTATGTAATATTTTCACCAAAGATTTTGAATAAAATAACTAGTGTATGCCTTAACTTATAATCCCGCTTCATCTAAGATTAATTGTCACTCCTTAAGTTTTAAAATCTCAAATGAATTAAAAAAATAAAAATTCCTTCTCTTTGCCAAGTTTTACCACGCGTCATTGTTATGATACCTATTGTTTCAAAAAACTTACAATTTAGTGGTGAACCCTACCCACAGATATGGCTTTAGCCAGACGTGGCGAAATGAGAAAAACTGTGAACTGTATGCCGTGTACTACAAACTATGAACTATGAACTGAATTAGGACGTCTTTACGTGGTAGAGGAGATCCTTACTGCTCTCGTTGATATCAACAGAAATGGTATCGCGTGATGAAACTATTTTTAATAAAATATAAACTGATAGGAATAGATAGGATGTCATGAGTAGAGTTTACGATACTGAAATACTGAATTAATATCTACTTAACTGTTTACTGCTTACATTGTGATATTGACTACTGCATTATGTTATTTATTGAATTGTTTATGCCTTAAATTATAATATTGAAATAAGATATTATGAATATTTAATAAATAAATTGATTTAGGAGATTTAGTGATTGAATTAGGGTGTGATGCTATGTATTTTCTGAATTAAAGAGAAAGTGTTTTGACCCACCTCCGTCAGTAGTTTTATATTTTCTATTAACTTGGATAGATTATCTTATTATTTGTTAGTACTTACATGCTTACTGAGCATATTAAGTTCACCCTATTTATTATTCGTTTTTTTCAGATCATATTAGATTTAGATCCAAAATATTATGATATTACAGGAGTAGCAAATCAGAAAATAAATAACTACTATAAGTTATTATATTTAGTTGATATGAGATTACATTCTAAACAATATTAAATAGTGTGTGTATATTTTTTATATATATAACATCCACTATGTAATATATAAACATTTGTATATAGTACTATAGGTTTTTATATTTAGTTTATGTGAATTACATCCTAAACAAACATTTAATTGCATGCATATATATAAATATGTAGATATATGTATACATACAAATCGTATTATATATATAAATATGTGTGATTGCATTCTCTCTTTTTAGTACGATAAATATATGTGGTTCTAGGTTTAGATTGATAGAAGAGTTGGAGGTCCTTCTTGGTTTTTCGAGAAAAACCACCAATGTATAACTTTTGCTCCTCATTATTATTTTTCCTGTACAGCTCTTCTAAAATTCTTTTTAGGCTCCAACATCTTCTCTTTTATTTTATGCCTGTTCGTATTTCCTTCTGCCTCATCAAGAACAACATTTCTTTTTGCTTCTTGAATAAAAATTATATTACTTGTAGTTTAATAGATTACAACTTAAATATTTATCGAACTGTACCCACCAAATAACTTTTTTGTAATTTTGTCATTGTGTTCAAGTATCAATTTCTACTGGAAATGCTCTATCAACTATAGAAACAAGAAACAAAATTTATTTCAGCTGTATAATTTAATTACAAATGGATCAACCTCTTCTTCCATCCTCTTTCTCTTTCCCTTTTCCTTCCTCTGCACATCCACCTGCACAACAAAAAAGAACAAAAGAAATCTAGATAAAATATTTTAGTATTATAAAATTAATTGTGACTAAAATATTTCCGTTGTATGTATATATACACTGAAAAACAACATACAGAAGAAGTCATCTTTTCCCCATCCACCACCTTTCTTGCCCTGCCAACCTTCCTTCTTACAGGAGTACTTCTTTGTTCCTCATCCACCATATTTTTCCTCGGTCTTCGTACCTTCTTTCGCACTGGATCATTCCCTTCTCCTGTTGGCACTGTAGAACTACTCCCTTCATCTGCTTTTTTCTTCCTTGGCTTGGGAGTCGGCTTCTCTGGGTATACCTCATATAGTATAAAGTCTGTGACTTCCACCGCTGATCGGAATAATCCCTGTGATTTCCTGTGAATGAAATACTCCAGTAACATATCAAATAAATGTAGTCAATGTTCTTGGGCAACCATGTGTAGAGTTTTTAATTTCCAGATGCATGCTCTGAAAAAATCAGCTTGTTCAATTCATAAAATTAATGGGACTTACTGAATCATATCTCATAGTTGCACGCTGCCATCTCTCTATCGTCTGCCCTTCGGTTCTTTGCCGAATTGTGTACCAATGACTCGTTTTTAGTGGAATGAGTTGGTCAGAAGTATACTACCATCAAGAAAAATAACCATTTATAAATTTTCTATAAAACCCATTTGAGCTACAAGATTATATGAGAGATTTAAGTGAGAGAAAAATTTACTAACCAGTAGCTAAGACCAGAAGATCCTCTTGAAGGGTAAAAGAATCTGTGGCTCTTCCTGTTACTGGACATTCCTGTCATTTCTTAGGTTGCTGCTGGTCCCCCTACACGCATTAATTTATAATCTAAAAAACCTAAAAAAAAAATTGATATATATATATATATATCTATACACATATATATACATATTGTGGAAGCACCATTTGACTAGGTTCGTAAGGATGGACAATTTCTTCATCAGGCCTTCTGAAAGAAATGGCGACAGCTGCCACGGCCTCATATGCAATGTTTTCTCCTTCTGCAGCTAACCGTTCTGCCTTGGCTGCTTTGCGTGCTTTCTCCTCATTCTCTTCTTCTTTCACCTTCGCTCGCAACTCCCTTACCTTTTCTGTATCAGTACCCATTTGTTGGTTAAGGGAGACTTACAGACGGTTCTAGGTGTAGATTGATAGAAGGATTAGAGATCCTTCCTGGTTTTTCCACAAAGACCAGCAATGTATATCTTTTGATGTTCCTCATTATTATTTCTCTTGTTGCTTTTGTCATTGATCACAACGCCTTTATTTGACTGTTGCGACATCATCATGAACAGCTCTTCTAAATAACTCTTCTTATTAGACTTCGGCATCTTCTCTTTTATTTTATGATAGTACTCCTTGAATACACCTCTTGCCTTGTACTTTGAGTTATGTTTGTCCATATTTCCTTTTGCCTCATCAAGAACAACATTCTTTTTTGCTTCCTGAACAAAATTATATTACTTGCAGCACAATCATATAACAACTCAACTATTTATCAAACTTTACCATCATATATAGAAACAAGAGACGACATTATTTCACCCATAAAATTTATAAATGTATAGTGCAGAAAAGTTAGTTTAATTACAACGACATCAATCTCTTCTTCCATCCTCTTTCTCTTTCCCTTTTCCTTCCTTGTTGTCTCGCCCATCATCTACAAGTGCCAAAAAATTAAGTTGATGTGACTATTTTTATATGTACATACTAATACCTACATATTATATAATTAAGTTAAATGAGTTACTTGAGCAAAATCATTGTCATTTGCTATATCTTTCATTTCAGAATCCATGAATCTTGTCTTCGACCACTTCATCATCTACATAATTACACAAAATCAGGTTAAATCCAATAATCTGCTCAGGAATAAAAATATCAATTTCAATCTTATAAGTTAACAAACTACTTCATCAATGACACAAGGCATCTCTCCTTCCACCCCCTTGTGCGTTTCCTCTTTGATTGGTTTCTGTAAATTAACAGGCAAACCAAGTATATTTAATAAAAATTTTACACATTGAGGAACTATTATATTCATTTCTAACTAAGCGGCTTATATATGTACGTATATATGTATATAATATACACTTCACTCACTGATGGAGTCTTTTCTTTCTCCATCTTTTTCCTGGGTTTCCTCACCACATTCACCTGCACAACAAAAAAGATAAAAGAAATCCACATAAAATATTTTAGTATTAAAAAATTAATGGTGACTTTAATATTTCCAATATATATATGTGCACTCGAAAACAACATAAAGAAGAAGTCATTTTTTCCCAATCCACCGACTTCCTTAGCCTGCCAACCTTCCTTCTTACTGAAGTACTTCCTTGTTTCCCATCCACCTTATTTTTCCTTGGCCTGCCTACCTTCTTCCGCACCGCACAACTACTCCATTCTCCTTCTGGCAGTGCAGAACTACTCCCTTCTACTCTTTTCTTCCTCGGCTTGAAAGTTAGCTTGTCTGGGTAGACCTCATAAAGTATAAAGTCTGTGCCTTCCAGGGCTGATCGGAATAATCCCAGTGATTCTCTATGGACGAAATACTGTAGTAACACATCAAGTAAATGTTATCAAAGTTTTTGAGTAACCATCTATAAATTTTCTAATTTCTAGATGCACGCTCTAGAAAAAACTTGTTAATTGCAAAAAATAAATAGGACTTACTGGATCAAATCTCATGGTTACACTGCCGTCGCTCTATAGTCCAACCTTTGTGTAACACCCGTGTTTTTTTTTTCTTCTTATTTTATCTTATTATTTTTATTTTTATTTATTTGAATTTTTTAGATTTTAATTTAATTTAATTTAATAAAAATAAAAATAATAATAATGACAAAATTGGGTAAAAATATTATTTGGATTTAATTGAAATTGATTTTGAAAAAAATGAGTGAAAATTTGGATTCTATGGGTGTTTTTGAAAAGAAAATCGAAAACCGATGGTCAAAACGTAATTTAGAAAAGTTGCACCCACGTCAGCAGCCACGTCAGCGGCCCGGTCAGCAGCCCCGGCCAACCAGGACACGTCGCGTAGCAAGAAAACGCTGACACGGGACGGGCAACGTGGGCGATCCGCGTGCGCGCGATCGGACGGCCCAAATCCGTTCCCGCGCGCACGGACGACCCAGATCAAACGTGCACACAGACGGCCCAGATTCATGCGTACAGACGGCACAGATTCAATCAGGCACGAACGGCCCAGATTGCATCGCGATGGACGACCCAGATTTAATGCTAATTAAATCGCGATCGGACGGTCCAGATTTAATCTTGATGGACGGTTGAGATTAAAAGGCAAAGGGTATAAATAATCCCACCCACACCTGACCACAAAACCCTATCTGCCAATGCCTCACCGGAGAA